AGAATTGCACGTGCCATGGCTATTTATAGTATCATACTGTCAGAAAGTTGGTCTCGGCACGGCGAATGTGCACGCTTCAGTGGTAGTCTCGAACTATCAGCGATGGACTGTATTTCTGTGAGACATGGGTCACCCTACCATATAAGGCAGTGCTTACTACGAAACTACTGTTTGTGTTATATGTTAACGGCCACGTACGTCATACGCTGAAGTTCTGTGTGCCTTTTGTAAGTGATTTAACTATCAATGAAAATTTTAAAAAATGATTTTACGAGAATGATTTGACATCACCACAAATAACTCTTATTTCGGACGTCTTTCTTTCATTGCTGCCGTGGGGGGTTGGATGGCTGAATGGTTAGCTTGCGCGCGCTGTATCATAAAGTCTGTCATTGAGTCCATAGGTGTACGAGCTGGGGGAGCTGGGGGGGCGGCCCCCCCCCCCATTTTGGGCACCAAATGCTGGGAAAATTTGGGCACACAATTGTACTTTGTAAAAGTTGTATAAAAAAATATTGTGTTCTTGAATGCGTCCAATTTAACAGCGAATTTAAATTCAGAGTGTCTATAGTTAGGCAATTAAATAGAAATCTTAAGACTCGAACCCTCTATTGTTTGGAGTACAATAAGCCACGAATTACTGTTTTTAGTTGTGTATATTACAAGTAAATAAAATTTAGTTCTCTTTTATTGATGATTTAGAAATTAAGAACTTATTCATCGCAAAAGAGATATTATGATTATTATGTAACATACTAAGAACCTAACTACATTTTTGGGGCACCAACCACCACCGCCCCCCCCCCCCCTCCCAGTAAAAAATTTCCCCGTACGCCTATGATTGAGTCGACTGGCGTGGTTTCGAATCCCCGGTTGTACGTGGCAAGGAGTAGGGTCGCCTGTCCAACCTCGTGGGTTTTCTCCGGGTCCTCCCGTTTCCTCCCACTGCTAAAGACCCCTACGCGCAAGCGATTTATGTAAATAAAATTGAACCATATGTTAGTCCCGAAATGACCTAGTTTGTGTCGAGTGGACGTTAAACCCCATTTCTCTCTCTCTCTTTCATTGATGAATAAACGAATAAATTTTGGAGGAATATTACTGGCGTGAATTTGATTGAAGTAGGCACGGATCGGCAAGTTTTCATTCCATCGTATTACGAAAACACGTAATTTTGTAGAACTATTACTGACATAAATTTGATTTGAATACCATACGGGACTTAAATATGAATAAGCGGTTGCCATGCAAGATACGCTCACATGTTGCAAGTGATGGACAGAGAACAAGCTAAATAAAAAGCGAATATCAAAAGGAACCTAGATCTTTGGGATATAAACATACATTTTAAGTTTCATCAAAATCGGATAAAAATTGTGTTCTCTAGAGTGTCCACAATCTTGGAATTACATACTTTTACACTATTTGCGTATGAGTCGTCCACAATCCACAATCTTGGAATTACATACTTTTACACTATTTGCGTATGAGTCGTCATTAGGGCGTAACGGTGATATATTGGAACGGTTTTTAAAATCGGAAAAAAATTGTGACATCATGAAGAACTTCAAGCTAAAAACGCGATTTTGCATATAATCGGGGGCCATAGTCCACGACGTTACTGTGTGATATGCGCGAATATCGACAGAGACCGAGATCTTTGAAATCTAAACATATATTTTAAGTTTTGTCATAATCAGATAAAGATTGTGACCTCGACGGTGTCCACAATCTTGGTATTCCATACTTTTACATTATTTGCGTACGGGGAGCGGCCATTTTGTCCGGCAGTTTCGGTCCGATTTTCACGAAATTCGAACCTCGCCGTCATTAGCGTGTAACGGTGATATATTAAAACGTTTTTAAAATCGAATAAAAATTGTGACCTCTAGCCGGGCTACAAGCTAAAAACGCCATTTTTGTACAATCATGTGCCATAATCCAGGAAGTTAAGATCTGATATGCGGGAATATCAAAAGGAACCGAGCTCTTTTGGTTATAAACATACTTTTGAAGTTTCATCAAAATCGGATAAAAATTGACAAGCTAAAAACATGATTTTCCGTAAAATCAGGGCCATAGTCCATGAAGTTACGGTCCGATATATGCCAATATCGAAAGGAACCGAGATTTTAGGGAGATAAACCTATATTTTAAGTTTTGCTGAAAGTGAATAAAAAAATGTGACCTGTTGAGTGTCCATAAACAAATTGTGGACGGACGGACAGGGGCGACGACAATAAACATCCACAAGCGAATGTGGGCGTACAAAAATAGCGAGGTGTTCCTATTTTTATTACGTGCAGATTTGACATTTTATAAAGAAGAAAACGATGTTTTTCATATCACAAACTACTGTTATTTCGAAAGTTCTGCATTCATTTGCTGTGTATAATGAAGACACGTAATTTTGAAGGATCATTACTATTATGAATTTCCGTCTTCCTTAGCCCAGTTTGGAGCAAAACAGTAGGACGTTAAACCCCTTTTCATTTCATTTCTATTATGAATTTGGAGCCGAAGCAGGATCGGCAAGCTTACATTCAATCAATGTATTACGAAAACACGTAATTTTGTACGAATTCAATCAATGTATTACGAAAACACGTAATTTTGTACGAATATTAACATAAATTTGAATACCATACGGGAATTAAATATAAAAAAATATCGAGGTGCACCTATTTTATTACGTACAGGATTTGAATATTTTATTGACACGTGACTTTTAAGTGGTATGCATCCGTCTGCTTAAATAACCATAAGAGTTATGCCCCTTTATTTTTGGTAAAATGTCCGACAAGAACATTTTTGAAATTCCAACTCTTAACTCATTTGTTTTTCAATATTTTCGAATGAGATATGGTTTGTCGATAGCGCAACGTGTGAACTTCAAATTTCATCCCTGATGACCTCGCGATTGAAGGTCACGGTCAAGTTCAAATGGGCGATTTTCATGGAAATCGGGTCTGTTTTGCATAATTGTCGATTTTTATCTGCTCTAAGTCGACTGTTTTTCAAAATTTTGAATTAAAATTTCTCATTTTTCATAGAAAAAAAATGTTTAAATAATCAAGATCGACATTTTAGATCAAGAATTTGCGAAAATCCATATTCACTTTGAGACGCCATCTTGGATTTGTAGACTGGATACCAAACCACACCGAGACTGAATATTTTGGCAAAGCGGGTTGAAGGGGAGCCGGAGTTGATATATTGATCCTTTGAATAACAATTTGGGCGATTGGGTAACTGAATAATCCGTCGATGTATCTCAATCAAAACTGAAGTTTTTGCTAACTTTCGACACGAATTTTCACACTGTTGCAAGTTAGCTGACAACGATTTTATTTCTTATGTTGTTAGAACTAGTCAAGCTGCAAATAGATTGATTTTAATTTTTATCGCAAACCCTGCTCCAGTGGAGTTATCGCGATCTGAAGATAGGGTACATTTCAGGTATCTCCAGACACGTATCTTGTGTAGTCTACTGACACCAAAGGAAAATGAACTTTAACCAGATGACCATGATAATGTGATAGGGTAAGACCCCGACTATCACGAACAACCAAAACCTAGTTCGCCAGGGTCATGTAACAGCGGTAGTAGTGCGACAAAAATAGCTAAAATTTGGCTTGAGAATGGCAAAAATCAGCCAAAAAACGTAATTGGCCTGTATCTCGGAAACGGTTGATTTCTGAAATCGGTGATTTTGGCTGGGGAGTAGGCTCGATGGGTCGACCAAACCCTGTCAATATGAACTCAATCGACCGACCCCCACCTTCGAACATCTGCATGATATTGCATGGTTTTCTCGTGGACTGGCTCTTAAGGACTTAAGTATGTCAAGGAGGGGAGAATGGGGAAAAGTAATTAGTTTGTATATAACTTAACTGCAAGACAGGGCCTTTAAAATTACACTGTTACTAAAAATAGAAACAATTTGGAGGACGAGACTAGATAACACGCTCGGCGTGCATTCGACCAAGACCAGTGCGTGCTTAGTCAACCATGTGCTGAAGAGAGACCATGTGTGTTTTGAAAAATTTGAAAAAATGACTACTAGTATATGAAATTTGAATGATCAGAATTCAGAATGTATATTGATTAAATAAATGTGAAAACTGTCTTTTTATTTTAATGGTCTTAATCCCAATTATATTTAAATAAATTATATTTGAGTTTATTAAATGGAACTGATATTAAACAGATCTGAAAATGTTTACCACAGTAAATACAAAAATATATTTTCTAAGGGGAAATGGCATCTAGTGTTCGAGACAGAGCACTTGATCCATCAATACGTAGGCAATGGGCATGTGTGTAATAAAATGCGGCAAGTCTCTAACTCAGTATCATCCACTGTCTTCGACATTGCAAACACGACTTATTGGCTAATTGAAATTAACATTGATGTTGTTATCTTACCATGAAATGACGGGCTTCTGATTATCCAATATTTAAGACAAAATGAAAATTTTAAAATTGGCATACGAATCGCGTGCCAGAATGCTTTGTAATGAAGCGACCCGATGAACGAAGCTAAACATATCCCATAGAAGAATACGACCGGTGTAGACTGGAATAATCAGACGCCAAAGACTGCCATTCAATTCGACTATTTCGCCGAATATAACTGATTAGAAATTACAGTAAAAATAGAAACGTTTGAATGTAAATAAGTTAATATACATTCATATTACATTATATGCGACCGATTTGTGTCCATTTCTAAGTGCCAAAGAATACAGATTTAGCTCCTCTAAATCAAAAATCATATTTAGAGAGATCTGAAATGGTTATCACAGGAAATCCAAACGAACAGAAAACGGAAATTCGCCACAAAACGAGACATGACATCTAGTGTTTGAGACGGAGCAAACATATCCGATCTTGCGCACTTCACTCTTCAATACGTATCGGCATGTACACCGATGGTTTAAGCATGGATTCTAATTACCAAATCAATTAATTAAATTAAATCGAATTCTTCTACTTACCTTCACAGCTGGTTTTGGCTCAAGAGAGACGGATGGCTTCGACACAGTGTCACCTTTTACCTGCGGCGCAGATATTTTTACACTAGCTTCAATGTGAACAGCACTGATAACCGTAGCCGCAGCACCATCTACAGAGTGAACGGGACTTGTCACTTTAGACAGGACAGCTGCTGCTGTTTGTCGAGATTTCGCACTTGATCTGGCTGCTCTAGCTTTACGAGATAGCGTCGTCTTCCGCGTCAGCATCGACATGTTGTTTATTGGAATAACAACAATGTCTTGTAACGGGGTTATTTCAGATGAAGGAAGGAATTAAATAAAATCATGGCACGTTCTCTCCTCTCGTGATGCAAGCAAACGAAATGATTACAAGTCTGTTAAACGGTTATCACTTCTTTCCAAAAAAACTCCAGAAACACGCTGCATTATAAAATCATTAGCGGCAATTCACTAAAGAAATTATTATCTGATCAAGCGTACAGGTGAAATTAACGAAATATAAAACACTTCTCTCTATTATAAAGGCTTTCAATTCTCTCGGAGAAGACTAAACTTTGTCATTAAGAGAGCAACCGTCTCGCCGGTTCAACGAAGGTTTCGACCCTTTCTAACTGCTCTAATTAAAATGCCTAATCTTCAGCAGGCAGAAATAAAACCGCAATCTTGTTCCAAGACATTAATTATCTCCCCGATATTCAGTCCATATAAATTCCATTGTTAACGATTTAAGGCGCGTAAAGTTGAAACAGTTTTATTAACACCTTGTTCCATTCCGAGCAAAAAAGATGCACAAGAGTCCTATTAAAAGGAAAACAAAATTGAAGAAATCCCGATAGATTGATCTATTAATGATACAGATGGATTTTATCCTCTCAATCGTTTACAAGTTTATGTGCAGTTAATTACACAAACGTGGGCAGAAAATCACAAAACGAGTTCCACAATAGCAATTTGTAGATACAATAACTATTGTCGTTCTCAATAATTCACCTATTTCAAATCAAAACTTTCCTTGCAAGTGACAATTTCGAATAATACGCAAAATCACCAGACGTAGATGCTAAGGATAATTTACCCGCTAGGAAAGTTTTCCCAAAGGACTCACTCCAGTCGCGAAAGTTAAGTATGTATTCCTGATATTTAAAAATGACTGTTACATATCAGCCGTACAGATGTCGCATTTTGAATGTTAATCGTACAAATCGCAACAGCTTGGTCATTAACTATAACAAATGACATTAACATCCTTAAACGGTTGAAAAACTGTTATTTTAAATTTTAGCCGTTAATGTCAATTAATAATTCAACCGGAAAATCGAGATCATATTTTGTACTCGTCTTTTCAGAACATTAATAGTAATGAGTGAATCACATGAGGTTTAAAGTCCTACTTTTCTGCACAGGCCGGGCTAATGAAGACGGGAATTCTTTTACTAGCGTCAAAGTTCGCCATCATTTATCCAAAATGAACCCCACAATCATTGTTTAAAATATAATGGTATTTAACGAGAGGATCTAGAGATCTTGAGAGTCCCACTTCGAGCTCTAGTTGACCGGTCACTCTAGCTTGCCGTCGCTATTTCGATCCCTGATGTGTCTTCTCAAACTCGTTGGTTTACTCCGGGTATTTCGGTTTCCTCCCACGCTGCGCGTGTCATAAGATAATTAAAATAAGACAATTTGTCAGCGATATCACCTTCAGTGGAAGTCGAAGTTAAACACAAACAGAAGAAGAAACATTAAAGAGCGTAACCCGGTCGATTTAACGGAACACAAAAAACACGCGTTTAAATGCAATAGCGTAATCCGTTCTATCAAATGATTATTAAAATACGAGTTAAAATTTCAGAGCGTAATCTATTCTGTAAACTGAACACCAAAACAAGCATTTAAATGTCGTCTAAACATCAGCATTGTTTAAGACGGGGTTGAAAGCTATACTTGAAAATTTTATCAATAAACTTGGGAACCTCGCCATTTCTTTAAACTGAACACCAAAACAAGTATTTAAATTTGAAAGCATACTCCGTTTTCTAAACTGAACACCAAAAACAATTGTTTTAAATTTAAGAGCGTAATCCGTTCTCTAAACTAAACACTAACACATCATAATGTTTTTTGAAAGTTGTTAGTTATATACTCTCAACTTTTACGATCAAAGCCAGAGAACCTTGTCATTTCTCTAAACTGCATGGACACCAAAACTTTCAAAGTGATTGTAAATTATACTCAAAAGGGTTACCATTAAACTTTACGGAATCTTGCCTTTTCTTTAAACGTGAATACTAACACATTTGAAAGAATAAAATCGCTTCATCAGCACCATTTCTTTTCTAATCTGTCGTAAGCAATACTCTTAAAGAGTATCATTCAACGTTAGAGAACCTTGTCGCTTCTTTAAACTGAACACAACAATATGTAAAAGAATAGACCTTCTTTACCAGTAACCCTTTCCTTTGAAAAAGATCAAGATCTTTGTCATAGTGGTGTATAAATCTATAATGTTCTCTCTCTATATATTATATTGTATTGTTTTTCAACCCTACGTTAAATATTGACGAAAAGAGTTTAAACCTACATCTTCGAGACATCTTAAATATTAAACATTTTATAAATAATAATTCCTTGTTGCATGCTTGATATTTTTCAGCGATTGTGTTTTCGAACGACTTCCTTATTCGTTCTTGTTTTTAACCAATATCTAGAGTATTAAAATGTCTATAGATTAAAAGGCCAATCACGATGAAGTTCATTGACGTCTTTCTTCAAGTGCTATTTCAAAATATCACCTTGGTCGTTTTATTTTGATTTTTTCTTTGGTTTTCTACAGAGCTATACAAAAATAACCGGAGACGGATTAAGAGCGATATACCATCCGTTAAAATCTGTATTCAATATATCAAAGGTCGCCCTGAAGAATCACCAGACTTACATTTTTGATATGACATCATCATATGACTGCGATGGCGTCATTGTTGGTTACACGTATTTGTTCGGACATCAACTACTGTTTCACACCGCAATCAAAGGTAAAATGTACTCAAATTGATTGTTTATAATTAGCTGTTATTATGGATTAGTGGATCTTCTTCAAGAATGACTGGACCGGGCATCCCAATTCCAAGATGGCGGCGATGACGTCATTGTTGGTTTCTGGCTCATACGCGTACTTCTCACTGCTTAATCCACGGTAAAATATATTCAAATTGATTATTTAACATTAGCTGTTGAACATAAATAACCGTCACTGGGAAACTGCGTCTAGACACATCCTTTTAAGTATAATTCGTCTTTAAATGCAGTATGAGATAGCCGTCACCGGGAAACTGTACCAGAGTACTTCCTGTTCAGTATAATTCATCTTAAAATGCAGCATCAATCTGGGTTGTAAACTGAGCGCTATTCTCCTTAAATAACGAAAAGACCAACTTACCTCCCTTGTGGTATGTTGCTCTTATATACCAATTGCCCTACTTGGTCAATTGTTGAATTCAATACAGACAATAAATGCGAGGTAAAAATAAGATTGACAGTTGAATTGTAAAATATATATTTTAAACCAGTCCATCTATCGAGTTTCATTCTACTCACGTTTTCAAATTTCCAATCGTTTCTTGGGGGTTCTTTATCCAGCATCTCGTCCGCAGTCATAATTTGGTTTGATTGATTGATTTTATAAGGATTAGAATTCCCAGATGTTTTAAATGTTTTAATACGTTTCATGCGCGAGGAAACTTTAAACAGGAACCGGTTCCACACACTCAGTTATCGTCAACTTCTTCTGGGAGAGACGGTCTTTAAAAAAGACCTAGCTCAAGGCTCTGTCAATTCGTGTGCGGTCGACAGGAAACTCTACATGCCTGTTCATCAGATATTTCCGCATCGATTAACGCATTTAAGTGTCTTGTAAAGTGCCATGGGTACTTTCAAAACAATAAATGTGCAACAATCTTTGAGGGATCATCAGATGACAGTTGGAAATCGAAAGAAGAGTGGGTCGTACCGCCGCCTTAAAGCAATATGTCATCGTTAGTACGCAGCAAACCAATCGTTGGACCCCTGCTGTCTTTACCACAGAGAAAGAAACAATACTAATTTGTTGTCTTGCTGTGGGTGGGTTTTTTTACTCAAGCATTCTGGCGATATTTACTTAAGATAATTTTAATATGTTGATTTTGTAAAGTTGCGAGTCATGATGACTCGATGTTTACGGCAATGCCTGACTAATCTGGAAGTCCAGGGTTCGATCCTCATGTTGGTTGATAAAGTTCATCAGGATTTTTCAGCTGGGCCTCCCTTTTCCAGTGATACAGGGCAGCGGGCCTGTCAAGAAAAGCGCCTAGTCGATCGGATGGAATAAAAGACGAATCTCGTGTACAAATTAGTGTGCACGCAAAAGAACCATTTGAAGTTATAACAAACTGTATTTCCAAACTTTTGTTGAGCGTACGCTAAACCCGTCTCTCTTCCAAATATTTGCATTATTATCAATATCTGGAATTGAAACACTAATTATCGTACCACTATTATCTAACTTTAGGGATTCGAGATTATGAACTACAGAATACGAAACGAAATCGATCTAAATTTCATTTCATCAAATTACCATTACTACCCCCTGGAGAGATTTGTTAGTATATTCAACAATATAATTATGATGGACTTTTATATATAAAAAAATAAGTATACTTCAAGTTTCACATTGTTGATATTGCACGGAGTCGCTTCTTATTGCTTTTATTCTACTTTAATGAAACGGTGATCAACGAGGCGATGTATCATAGACCAGCGGGGTCGTTAACTACTCGGGCTGTACAGTTATTAAACGGATCAATCGTTATTACGCAACGTGTTGAGTAAATCGTCACAGCTTTAACACATAACCAGACTTGTACTCCAATTATGAGATTATATTTCTGCAATTTTATCATCTAAGATTTCGGAGATTATTTTTATGTTAAATATGGGTCAATTCTTGACACTGTCTACCTTCAAATTACATTTAATATTTCGGAGAATTTTTATTTTAATGGGAGTTAATTCTGGGAACCGTCTATACCTTCAAGAAAGCAAAGATCGATTTGATAGTTTTGCCTTAACTGCTCTGTTTCACGAGAGCCAGCTATTCTATACCGGGATTCTGAACCAGCAATCTAGTGGAAAGTCTCGTTCGATACTTTTATTTCAACTAAAGAAAATAAATAAAACGATATTCTTTTCTAACGCCCTAAGTTTCTGCACAAATAGGGTTCATTTCGATGCTTTGGTTGTGACCTTTGTTTAAAAGTTACTTATCTTGAAATAGGGTTTATAGCGTCTTATTCTCTGCAATATAGGGAATCTATAAGAAGTGGTATAAGGTGTTCCGCGACTGTTTACGCATGCTATGACATCTAATAATAAAATACTTGGCCAAACTTAACTCCGCAATCATAAACAGTACCTTATACATTATGTTATGCTCTGTGCTGGCATGAAGTAGGGGTTTAGCATCCGACATTTCTCCACAAACCGGGATAATGAAGACGAGAAGCTCCGTTCTGCCGAATTCATGGCAACTCTAGAATAAGCGTTTATAATCGTTAAACATTCGGCAATATTCCTCCCACTACGAAAGAAGACACCTACTCGCAAGTAAAATATTGGCATGAATATGTTGTACCTTACATTAGTTCCAAAATGACCCGGTAGATGGCTGGATCAGACGAGATTCAAATACTATTTTATTCTAATATTAGGGAGGGGGGAGGGTGGGGGTGTTTGTGGGGGTCACGGTATGTAAGTGGGCAAGACGCTGGCTCGCTAGCCTGGAGGTCGGGTGTTCGATCCCTGCATTGGCCGAGAAAGTTCATCCAGATTTTCCTGCGTGGTTCTCCCTTGTCAGTGATGCAAGACAGAGGGCCTGACAAGGACAGTTGTCTAGTCGTTCGGAGGGGACGAAAAACCGAGGTCCCGTGTACACATTGGCGTGCACGTAAAAGATCCCTTGACAGTTGGAATTCGATTTAAGAGTAGGCCGTAGTGCAGCTGTCCGGTCACAATTTCCCTCATAGCACACTGTATGGGGTATGACCGTCTTCATTAGCCCAGTCGGGGCAGAACAGTAG